CCAATTCGTCCAGAACGCCTCTGCACTCCTGAACCAACCGCGATGTTATTGTCGGAGTCCCCAGCGCCTTGATGGCCGCCTGGCTGTCCGTACAAATTCTGATGTGCTCTCCCGCTTCTTCCTTACTCCGCACGGTCTGAGCACAGCTTAGGATAGCCACAATCTCCGCTTGGAATACCGTGGCATAACTGTCGAGACAAATGCTCTTCTTCCATCCCTCTCGACTACCAATGAAGCCGGCCCCGGAGCCCGTGTCCGTCTTGGAGCCGTCTGTATATCAGACATCCCCTCCACGCACTCGAGCCCCTAAGTTTCCACCTTCCTTTTCCCACTTCTCCGGCCTCTGTATATGCACTTTAAAGCGCCTATCAGAAGCCCGAATAATAGGTATTCTGTCCTATTGCATCTCGAATATTGGATCCAATAGAACGTCTTCTGGCAGCCTCGTATGCCAGGCTCCCTTTTTCCATTTTAGTTCGCATCTCAGACGGTATGCCGCCATTGCTGCAGCAGCCACCATCACCTGGTGAAACGGCTCGATGCCGAACATTACGCCCATCGCCGCCACTGGTGTTGTAACCATAGCACCCAGGGCCCCTCTCAAAATCAGAGACCTGACATGCTCCAGCGCAACTTTGGCTGTTTTCTTTCGCACCCTAGTCCACCATACTACGGCTGCGTATGTGAGTCTGGGGCTAAGTATGGCTGTGTAGATCCAGTGTATCATACTCGGTTTCGAACCCCAAGTCTGGCCAAAGGTCCTTCTGCACATCCAAAAATACTGGCACAAGCTTTTGCACCGGCTATGAAGGTGCTCCTCCCAAAGCAGTTTCCTATCCAGGATAACTTTCAGATATTTCACTGATTCGGTCGGAACTAACCTTACTCCTCTAAGAGTGGGTCCCACAATGGTGGCTATCTTGTATTTGCGAGTGAAGACAGTAAGACCGGTTTTCAGTGGATTCACCGCTAAACCCGTCTTCTGACACCACTCTTCTACGACTTCCAGTGCCCCCTGCATGAGCTCTAGAAGCGTCTCTAGAAAGGGGCCTCGCACAAATATTGCCACGTCATCCGCGTAGTCTTGTGCAGTGAAGTCTCTATCGTCCAGTGCCTTTAATAATCCGTCTGCTACCAGGCACCATAAAAGTGGGGAAAGTATTCCGCCTTGCGGGCAGTCTTTTCCCACCCAACCACAAACTTTCGCAGTTCCCAGCGAAGTCATCACACGCCTTCCTAGCATGCCCCGGATCCACTCGACGAGCTTCATCGGGACACCTCTTCTGGCGGCTTCCTCACACAC